GTATTCAATCGTCCAACGTGATGACCTCTACGTGTTTCGGTGCAATTTTTTTGGTGCAACTCTTCAGTGGATATAGCATTTCTGTAGATAGATAGCATGAGTTTAAAGTCAAGACTGACAATAAACAAAAGACTCAACATAAAAATCTGTCACGAAAGTAGATTTTTTATTATATTTTTTCGGTTTGAAATTTTTCAAACGCCGTAAACAGCTGCATTTCGGTTTCATATATGATTACAATGCAATTTCACAATTTTCTCTTATCACTTTAACGTAACAACATAGTTAGTATTATTATATCAATTGATAAGTTTGACTAAATACGAACAATCGTTCTTTAAAGGCGAATGAATGTTTCTTATAGATAAATTATCGTTGATTTATAAAAAATGGTTGTTCATTTATGAGGAACAATCATTCCATTAATAAAGAATGATTGTTCTTTTATAAGGAACAATAATTCCTTAAGAAAGAACGGTTGTTCGTCCCTAAGAAACGACAGTTCATGTTTAATCAAAGTCATTTAATGTCTTGGGTATGGTGAGAGTTAATGTGATAATTGTCAACTCAATTGCCATGTTGGGGTTATAAGTAGAGATGGGCGCAAGGCGGGTTGGGGCCGAGGAATGGATCCCTCGTACCTAACCCTTGGGGAAAAACTTATACCTAAGTTGGAGGGTGTCGGAGAATCCCCATCCCCTACTCGTCTATGTTCAGGTGATACTACCTGCGAGAGGATTAATCCCCGCTGGTCATTTTCTATATAAATTTCATAAGCTTAATGCCTTAAACATCTTAAAAAAAAAAAGATATATTGTAGTAGTTAAAAAAAAAATATGACCAATCATAATTCATAAGATATATTGTCATTTTTATGAGTTAGAGACACCATTTATTCAAATAAAAATATTTGATCACATATTAAAGGTAATATGAATAGTGATTTTAATAGGCGCATTTGTATGTCTGTATATAATCTATTTCAATAAAGTAAATATACAATCAAGCACTTTAACTATTAAAAAAAATTAGACCATTTGATTACATTAACCAAATTAATCAATACCTATAGACTATAGTTCATTTACAATAATATTTTAAAGATAGAATACTATTACTATAAATTATAGGCTCCGCTTAAATGAAAACTAATTATGTATAAAAAACATGTCAATTTGAGAGATTAATTGTTTAATTGTAACAAACCAATTATATATATATATTAGATTATTTAATTGTTTAATTGTTTTCTTTAACCTCGTTTTTTATTAATATTTTCTTTTAATCAATTTAGAGGGTTACCAATTATATAATATTTTCAATTAATTATAAATATGTTTAATATTAATCAATCTCTTCAAAAAAAAAAAAAAAAACAAATAAATAAATAATTTAATAAATTTTGACAATGGACAATTTGGAGTTTTGGACTTGTAATTTTATACATTTAACATTAAGAGTTCCAATTCCTAATAGATTATATTAATATGTTAATAGTTTATATTTAATTTATAAATTATTAAATTAAAATGTACAGTGACATAATATATTTTATTTATGTTTGAGAATAAATTAATATTATTCATTATAGGTTGTAATTCATTAATTAATTACAGTAATAATAATAAAAATAATAAAACTTCGCATAATGGAAATATTATTCCATTATTGAAGATTTCAATAGTGATTAGTTTTATAATATTCAATAAATATATGAAAAATTAATAATTTAATGATTTTTTTAATTGCATAATTATGATGATTATATTTGACAATGGGCAATAAAACATAATTACTTAATCTGTTAATTAGAGAGAGAGACCTCAATTTTGACTATTCATGGAAAACCCTAGAGATTTAGACGACAATCGACGAACGATTGGTAACTAGGATGTTGGGGCTTTTGAAGAGGAAGGGTCGGTAAGTCGAAAGGTGGCAACGAAGATGATTTATGGCAAGTGAAACAATCGAAAATCGCAAAAATTTATTCCCAGAAACAGTAGGCTGTTGTCGGTGATTGGTGAAGTGAACGAGGGTAGGGTGAGATGGGTTTTGGTCTGGAGGCTAAGGGAAGGGTTTTCATGGTGATGGGATGTGTTGTCAATATCAGTAACATGTCCTATTAGGCCTAGGTTGTCGACGCCAACACTGAAATTTGAGGTGTTTTTATAGAATTTCAAACACACGGGGATTTATGTGTAATTTTCAAGGGTGTTTTTGCTAGATTCAAACCTCTTTACATGGTGACGTCATCAATTTGACTCGCAAGTTAAACCAATTCAACTGTTCAACTCCAGGACCCAACCATTTTGTCGAGTTTCACCCTGGGTTGGATTTTAAAACACTGTTAATTAACACAAACGAAGATAGGGAGATGACTACAAAAGATTCATGTATGGATTAACAAAAATGTGTAAATTATGTATTTATGTCCGCTCTAAGTACAAAACCTTTAAGGTATGCTTGGTTGAGGATAATCTTCCAGTACTAAGGTAATATCATCTTATATTATTTGATTATCAAATAATATAAGATTTCGATAATCTTCCAAAATCAATAGTAATTATTGTTAGTTATATAAAAGGTAATCTAATGACCTCAATTTTCTTAGATATTTTAAGATTATTTGGTAATCTTATTTTTGTTACAATTTTATATTTTATTAATAAAATTTTAGGACAATAATAGCCTTGTTATCTAAACAATTTACAACATTTGATTACCACATTTGATTGTCAAATAATATAAGATTTCGATAATCTTCTAAAACCAATAATAATTACTGTTGGTTATATAGAAGGTAATCTGATTACCTCAAATTTCTTAGGTAATCTTATTTTTGCTATAATTTTATCTTTTATTAATAAAATTTTAGGACAATAATACCCTTATTATCTAAACAATTAACAATAATTTATGAACAATTTTAACCAACTCAAGATTTTTAAGACAAAATTAGCCTTATACTTCAACCAAATTACCCAAGACCCCAGCCACTACAACCACCCAAGATGACTACCGACCACGACCACTGGCCGTCACCGGCAATCACTAGAATGACGCACGGTCGACCGGATCTAGCCAATAAGGTCATTTCCAACCAGATTTGGTTGTGAAACGGTCGCCTTTTCATGGCTAGATCTATGGCCGTGAAAAGGCCAGATCTTACTATTTCCAACCATGGACCACATATCCATGGCTCGAAACATCCTTATTGGCGCACAACCAACCAAATACGATCGATTGTGCGCCGTTCAAGTGACTGCTGACCAGGAAGGTGGCTAGGGTGTTTTTGTAAAGTTTTAAAGTTTTTGGGTTGTTGGAGTATTTTGGCTAAATATGAAATGTAGGGGGTAAAAAAAATAATTCAAAAAATAACATTATATTAATATTTAAAAAGAATGACAATTTAGTAATTTATATAACATACCCACAAATTTATTCCTCCTACCCAAACATATTAATATAATAAAAACCTATCAATCAAACACATTTTCTTAAACATTCCCAGTAATCTTCAAGGTAATTTATATTTTCATTACTATAACATTCCTAATAATACAAGATTCCTGAACCGAACGCACCCTTACAACATTCCTGCAACCCCTCCAAGTCCAAGCCACTTTGACCCCGCAAAATAAAGAAAATCCTATATTCTAGGGGCAGAAGAAAACAAAATTTGAAAGAAAAATGTAATATTACAACAAACCCGGTGACAATCGTCTCGCAAGGTAGAAAAACTTTACACTAGCTCGCTAAAACATCCTCAAATCTCATGTTATTAGTGTCACATTGATGATCCCTACGCGTGACTTGGGCTGATAGTGTTCATCTGTGTCCACCTCTTCAATTTCCTGAATAGTACATTGTGATTGTTGGCAAACGCTCCATGTTAGCTTTAATCTAGTCAAGTGAAATATCAATCAAAATTACTCGTCAAACATAAAATTATATTTATTACCTGCACCACATCCTCACCCTTAATGACTCTTCCGAACACAATAAGCTTATCATTTAAATCTGGTATTGGTGCAGTAGTAATATATAGCTCAAATTCTTTACTATCTTTAGTTTTTGAAGTTCCAATCATAAATGCCTCATGCTTTGGACTGTTTTTCAGAAGAATCAATTCATCAGTTAATGAAAAACCGAGTACTAATAAATACTATGGAAAAATGATTAGAATGAAAACCTTGTAGCAAGTTGACCACGAAGCTTCCCTCTTGAAGTCCAATCCTCAGCCGCTGCAAGCTGTTGGGAATGCCCAGCTTGAATCACATAGTTTTTTATCACATGATGAAAAGGCATCCCTTTGAAGTGCTCCTTTTGACTGGAAAACCAATAATTTTTAGGTACAGTGGTACACAGAGTATAACAGAACATGTAGCATGCACTAGGCACATAGTTTCTGCCACATTAGTATTTAGAAAATACAGAAAATGCCCTTTATTGGCATGTCGATCAGGGTGGAATAAATCTCATAGTTTAGAAGGGGTCACCAGCAACAGCCATAAAGAGAAGGCAATATTTAGCTAAAGACAACGACACTGCTACATTTATGAATCATTTGGACCCAAATGAAGAACAAGCAAATACAAGAAGAAAACCCCATTTATTACCAGTTCCCAGCACAAAGAAAAAGACAAATCTTTTCTAACTTTCCATATGGAGAAAAAGAACACTAACAAAACTACAAAAGAGATGCACTCCAATTCATGGTTAGAATATACTAATTCTTACAACTTTCAAACATTCATTTAAGTTCAAACAAAATCCACAGAAAGTATGCACCATACACAGAATTTTTTCATCATCCAGCAACCTAATAATGTTCTGGCTTATTTAATAACAATAGATGGATGAATTATGTTATATCCAGTTAATTTCAATGGACATAGCTGGCCAATAACAAAAATGTTTGGATGCTTACCAGAAGTCAATAAATTTATCCACAATTTCTGGCGAACCTTCTTTGAAAAGCTCCACAATTATATGACCTTTAGATGTATTTAGAATCTACAAGGGAAAAAGTTCAGAATTAAGGGCAAAAGATAACAAAGTCAATAGGCAAAAGGCAATGAGGAGAGCATGTGAAATAGTGTGTGAATGCATAACATCTAACAGTAAACATGGCAGTCAATGGCATGTAAGAATAAATAAGAAGCCTAGTATATCTTCAAGAGAAATTATTAGATTAATCACATCATAAACTTTTTGCATTACTGCAAAAATTATTATCCAAATCGCAAAAGGTCAATGATCAACATGCCATTGTCAAAAGTGAAGTTAACTTCAAAATAAGAAACTGTTCCATAACAAAGTTAGGCATTTAAAAAGTTGTTATGTACAAAATGAAGTGATTCATGATATAACAAGACTATTCATGCAAAAAGTAACCAAATCCACAACAAATATTCCACTTATCAGCATCTTCACTCCTAATAGTGAACTAGATAACCGAATTTTCTGGTCAAAAAACTCAATTGCAACCAACTTCGCTAAATAAAATTTGATTTAACAGAACTTACAGCATGGCCAGGAAGATCAAACTTCTTTGAAACCGCAGCGGCATCAGTGTCCTACACCACAGAAATGAAAATAAGTTTAGCGAATTACACAGTCGCTTATAATTAATACTAAATACAGAAACAATTGATTCATAGATGCACACATCTTATCTGAACTCCAATTACTTAAGTACCTCAAAATTCGAAGATCCAGTCCCCTTCAGTTGGTCTGGCCTACAAGAAAATTCACGGGATCTTATATTCTAGCAAACAAAATCGTCTTCAATAAGATCTTTATATTGTCAAAACAAACCTGTGTGACCAATGTCTATATGCGCCAACAAAGCACAACACAACTAACACCACAGTCAAGTTGCAGAAGACAATCGTAGTGATGCTGATTCGAGTCGGCCCCTTCTTCCTCTTACTTTGAACTAGTAAAGCCTGAGGTTTTATCCTCGCCATTTTGCTTCATTTCAACCGCTAAATTTACCCCTTTTATATCAGCAAAACTGCAAAAATCAGACCAAAACCTATTAACAAAAGGATATATAAAATCTACCAAATTGGAGCTTAACTGACCCCGATCCTCAGATCATCACCTGCTCTGTTAATTTCAATTTACTACTTTAATCAGGTTTAATACAAAGTTTAAGTAACTAATCACTAAACCTAGTTGAAAGCAGCTTAATAAAAATAAAATAAAATAAAACCTTAATGGAACTTTGCGGCTTGATTACACCGTACGGGGAGCTGTAATTGATATTTGATCGCGTCTAATTCAAACGAGAAGAAGAAGACGACGAGGGAACTAAGATTTGTTGTGTTGTTTTAATTATGGGTATTAGGTGATGTGATGTGATGATTGTTTATTCTTTACGCTGTCCGCGTTTGGTTTGCTTGGGCCCATCTTTTTCACGATGATGGGACCCATCAACGGACGAGAGGTTGCTTGACCGTTTAAATACATCCAACTGACGGTTGTGATCAAATCTGCGTGGTGATAACTGACAACCCCAGTCTTACTGTCCTCAAACCTGCCCTTTACTTTGATGAAGAAGAGCTGTGCCAGAATTTTGAGATACAATTAATCTCAATTGGACTACATAAATAATAATGAAAATATAGAAAAAACAAGTGCCAATATATATGGGCTATTTTCTAAGATCGACATTGAGTGTCCCAAAATTGATGGTCGTTGCAGAAGTGTATCCTGCAACTGTGATGGTGGCCACACAGCTTGAGGTAACATGATCCCCATTCATTGTAAAGTTGAAATTTCATGAGAATTTCTTGCTTTTTACTTGCAGTCCTCACACTCTGTAGGATAACCTTTCTAACCAAATATAAGAAGCTTCCACACTTATTAAATTAGTCGTCTCTCGGAACAATGATGAAATAATTTATCAAGATGAGTTAATAAATACAATAATGTTACGACACCGAGCTTGTACACCGAATTTTTATACTGAATTATGTGTCACGTGATTCAAACTAACCACGTGTGTCATTAACAAATATTTTACAAGTAAATGATCGTTCATTAATTATGGACAGTCATTCACCGTTATTGCACATGAGTCTATTATATGTGAACGCCCGTTCATGTGAAAGGAACGATAGACTCCCACGTCTATAATATATGCACAGGCGCCCATTTCGTTCAAACTTTAAATTTAAAAAAAAAAAAATGTCTAAACAAAAATAATGGACAGACCGTACAAAGCCATTGACGAGTACTCGAAGGTAAAGCTTTTGTACCGGAGCACTTATTTTGTGTATGTCAGTTGTTTTTGTTAAAACTCATACAGACGTGATTCTAAACAGAAGAGAATATATCTTTCTGTTAATTTCTTATGACCTTTTACTCTTGTGAACGAGAATGTAACAAACAAAGAACATTACTGATAATGAAGTACTGGTTTATTAATATATCATCAGGAGCACCCAGGCTTGACAAAGGCTGAAAGAAGGAAGATATGTGGGTTGATGGATGTCAGAAAACTGACAATAGATGCATCTATGCAAGCGGCGTTGAACGAACGACTGCCACTCCGAGTTGTGGTGCAAGTTCTCTTTTTTGAGCAGGTTAGAGTTGCTACAGGGGTTCATGCCCCTAACAACAATCCCTGTGATGCTTCACACTCCACAACAAACACAGATGAAGAGTGGGAGAAAGCAGCACAAATCCCTCAAGAAACAGATGAGTCGAATGAAGGTAAAAGACGAGGAATTCCAGAAGAATGGGAAATTAATTAAGAAGAACAGCAAAAATAGCAAAAGTGTCGTGCAGTTGTTACCATCACGGTCAAGGAGAATTAAATTAAAAGTTTGGACGGGCGTCCACTTAAGGTAGACTCCCGTCCATTATTAAGGGACACCGGTTCAAAAATTTTGAATAGACGTCCATTAAGTTAAGCATAATTTTAATGGGCGTCCAATAATAGTGGACGCCCATCCATTATTAAGGGATACCCCTCCATAAAATTTAAATGGGCGTCTATTAATTTTGTTTTTAATTTATAGTTTTGATGGGCGTCCATTAAAGGTGTTTGCCCGTCCACTGAATATGGATGGGAGTCTATATGATTTTTGTTTTCAATTTTTTTAAATTTAAACTATGGATGGACATCCATTATAGGTGGACACTCGTCGATAGTAAATGGACTCCCGTCCATATAATATGGACGGGAGTCCATCGTTCATTTCACATGGACGGGCGTCCACCTTTGATGGACGTCCATCCAATAACAATGAACGGTCGTACATAGTTAATGAACAGCTGTTCACTCGCAAAATATTTGTTAAAGTGATATGTGGCTGGTCTAAGTGTGATAACACGTAATTCGGTGTAAAAATTCAGTGCACAGTCCCGATTTCCGTAGCATTATTGTAATAAATATAAGTCGGAATTACTTAAATGTGTAATACAACGCTTACATCCAATCTTACAAACTTTCTCTCATAATCCTAACATGATAGTTCGCAATTGGTCAACTTGCAAATGAGTCATGTATACTCGCTATAGGTCATGCCCGCTGAATTACAAGTTATCATACCAGAGTTGTGAGAGAAAATTGGTAAAATCAGTTGTGAACCAATCTTTATCTTTACATAAAATATACATTGTAGAATGATTAATTAACTCACCCGTGGGTAGCCTAGCGGTAAGAGTGAACCAAGGGAACTCTGTATGACTTCAACCCACAGTCTTAGATTTGATTTTCCGCTGGGTGAAAAGTTAGTATCTTTGTTCATGATTTATTTGGAGGCTACAGTTTTTGTGGATTAACTTTCCCCCAGGTGGAAGTAGGTAGATATGAATAATCATTATTCCTTATTATTTCCACTTTATAATTTGATATTCTGCTGCCCCACATTGCATCCGAATCCATGGTTTTGGTATTAGGGATCTTCAAACGTTAAATTGAAGGTTGGCGGATAATATTGAATTTTGCAAGCTTAGGTTTGAAGGTGGACAAAGAGTAATTATAATTTGGAAGACTACTTTTGAAGAACAGCTAAGATGCGATTTGAAACTAGCACATCAAATGATTGATACATATTCCTTTCCTTTCCTTTCATGCCTGTCCAACCTCTTCATACCACATGGTTTACTTCAAGACTTTCTATTTGGGAAAGCAATGAAGTGGGCATATCAGAGAATATAGCTGCAAGCCTGCAACAACAACAACAACAAATCAATATGACAACACTTTGATTGACTCAAAATATAGCCCGTGTTGAACCACTATAGATTTCACCACACCAGTTTTGATTTTTTTTTCACTTTTTATTAAAAAACAATATATGTGCGTTTCCTTGAAAGAAAGAAATTACCCTCCAAATTGTTGAAACGACACTCAAAACGCACAAATATGAAAGTAGAAAAGTAACAATAGATAATTGATTTACCCTAGTTCATTCCCAATGAAAGAACTACGTCCAATATTCAAATCAAGTAGTTTTATCGAGTTTCAGAAATCTATAGAATACAATAATAAAAAGTATCAACAATTCACTATTTCTCTCTATTTTTCATGTTAGGTTTTCCACTACTATACTTGAGTACTAATAAACCTAATCACATTTCGAATGTGTCGGTGTTAACCCCGTGCAAAGTATGAATTACATTCAACACAAATGATACCACTATTTGTGGTATGCATAGACCTGGTGAACGGGCGGGTATGGGCTGGGTAATTACGGGTATCGGTTAAAGGGTAAACTTTTTGAAACAGGTAGAGAGGTGTAATACTTAGTACCCGCCCGTACGGGTACGGGTTGATCTGCGGGTCACCCGCAAGGTTTGATATTTAATAAAACTATGAAGGGTATTTTTGACTTCTCAAAATACTTCTCACAAAACCCTAGAAATATTTTTCTTCTTCTTTTTCCTCCTCCCATTTTTCTCTCTCAGTTTCCTTTCGTTTCTTCTTATTCTTCTTTCTCCTTTTGCCTTTTCTTACTTTGCCAAATCCGTATGCGTGTATATATAAAGATATTTTTCTAAGAGTAATGCTACCTTTACACGACCCTTTACACCATTTTTATTACACCATGACCATTTTACTAATAATAATTTTATTATAATATTAAAAATTAAAAATAATTAAAAAATTATGTGGATGTGGCATATGCCATATCATGATGTAATAAAAATGGTGTAAATGGTGGTGTAAATGTAGCATTACTCTTTTTATAAACTATAAACTATAACTGAGAGGGTTTTTATATTTTACATCCCCTACGGTTTGAGTTTCAATCACTCACACCCTACAGCTACAAGTACAAAAGAGCATCTCTCATTTTTTTTCACATTTAAAAATTTGTATAATTATCTCTCCTCATAGTGTTAAAAGGAAGGTTAAGGTTGATTGAAAATGTAATATCATATGTTTGCCCTTCTATTAACCTTTAAAAGGTGAAATTACAGTTTGGCCCTCTATAACCTATTTATTGTTTACATTTCTCTTGAACAAGACTGGCGGTCCTTAAAAGGGCGAAAGTGATGCTTTTTAATCGACTTGAAGGTGGTGAGTTTAAATCTGGCGACAGGGCACCATCACCCTCTTTGAAGGAGGTATTAGAGGTGTTTGTCTGAGCTTATAAGTTGGTTAAACTAGTTTATAAGTTTTAAAATTAAACTGAACTGTTTGTTTATAATTTTTTTGCGCTTATAAGCCAAAAAAAATAAGTTGGAGGAGATACTTTTTTTTTGCAGCTTATAAACACTTTGCTTATAAGCTAGTGACTAAGCATATTATCACATTATCCTTATTTAATTTTAAAATTTCATCCTATAATTTATTATTTGATAAAATAATATAAAATCTTTTTTAATCATTTTAATAATAAAATATACTTATAAATCACATTTTATTAAACACATCAACTACTTATCAGTCACTTATAAGTATTTTAACTAAACACATAACTATTTAAAATTTCAAATGCTTTAAGCTCAAATTATCTTAATTTATAAACTAATTTTCATAAATTTAGACAAACACTTCATAGACAGTTTTTACAAAATGTTAAGGTGGGATGAAAGATAATTGAAACCCAAACCACGGGGAGGTGAGGAATAACCCTAATAACCCTAATTTAAACTTCAAAGAGGACTGTATGTGTCTTATGTATTAGAGTAAACAATAGAGGTAATGCAATCGAAACCAACTGTTATTAATTATTTGATTGCGAACTAAACAGTCTAAACTATCAATTACTGAGATTAACCGAAGGCTGCAGCCTGCAAGATTCAGTACATCATAATTAACAATTAACTCGCCGTAGTAAAGCGGTGTTGGAGATCATGATAGGACAAGACACAGAAGACCAGGATCCACCTCTAGCGGTATGATCATCATAAAGAGCAGCGGTGACGATAAGACAAGTCACAACACCTCTGACCCACTGGAAAAAGTATGTAAATTTTATATAAATAAATATTAATAGTTAGTATTTGACATGCATATTGTATACATTTATGATCATGAAGAGAAGAGCAGCCCTCAAGAGAGATACATACATTAACTTAAAAGACAGAAATAGCAGGCTGATGTTAATCTAATGAAGGATGAGAAATTCAGTGAGAGCTAGACGAGCCTTAAAGATAAGGAGCACATAGTACAGCAGAAGATACTCTGATATACGAATGATTATATGAGGATCCCGCGAATCTGTTCTTAACATACTGTTCCATTTTTTAGGGGCAGCCCACTTAGATTATGACTGCTGAATGTCCTGGTTATCACTTTCCAGCTTTCACTCAGTAATACTGTAAAAGTAATTAACTGGTGCATCAAGTTATGATGCAACTAAGAAGGGTGTGTAGTTGTGTACCTAACTCTAGCCACAAATATAAATAAAAAGAAAAACGAAAATGGGTAACAGGTTATCTTATAAAACTAAAAGAAACAAACAAAAGAGAATTGATAAGAATAAAGTAACCTTACCAAAATATAAATAAGGATGAATTTGTAGGGGGGTTTATAATATGGCAGCTAGCCCGTTCAAGAAAGACTAAGATACAGTCTGTTGAAGAAAGTTTATAGTATTTCAACATCCTGGTTCTGCAAAGCGATTGTTTCTTTTGGGGAAAGAAAATGGTCGACAAGATGGAGAACAAGGTTCTAATAAGGGAGTTCAACGAAGAAAGAGATATTGAAGTGGTGGGGAAGCTTGAGAAGAACTGTGAGATAGGGTCTAATAAGGGAGTCTCTTTCTTCACTAACATGATGGGTGACCCTTTATGTAGGATAAGGTTCTATGCTGTTCATGTTATGCTGGTGGGTGAGAATTATATTCATGATCTTTCTTATTCTGTCTTGGCATCTCCATATATCTATATATTATATATACATGCATATTAACCTATATATTAACATTTTCTTTTATATATTTTATTTTTACTTTAAGTCTTTCATGTGCAAATCATTCTAACAATGATTTGTCTACGTTACTTTGTGATTACATCACTATAAAAGAGAAAAGATATCAATGAGGGAACCGCCCTCTTGACCCCAGTTAATCTGGATAATTTGATTGCTAGACCACTTATATGTGATAAAATGGCCAACAGGTTGCCGAGCTGTGTGAAAATGGGGAGCTTGTCGGAGTTGTGAGAGGATGCATCAAGCATGTGGGGACTAAATTTGGAGGAACCCATGTGAAGTTGGGTTCCATATTAGGGCTGCGAGTCTCTCCAAAGCATCGGTACTTAATTTCTCTCTCTGAATAGGCTCTCTGATGCGTTGAATTTACATGAAATTTACCCGAATATATTCTTCTCTCTCATTTTCTGATAGTGCCAAATCCTTCACTGCTATATAATGATTCTAACTAGAGCAACATTGTGATTTGCTTTGGTACTTGTTTTCTCTCTCTCTCTCTCTCTCTCTCTCTCTCTCTAAATAAGCATATTTGTCAAATCACAAATTTTATGAGAAGAAAAGTATTCGTGTTTTGTTGGTGATGTTTCCTAGATTGTTCTTTGGGTTCAATGTAGAAATGGTTACTTAATTAGTAACCATTTTAAAAATGTTCGGTTAGCAAGATTTCTAATGATAATACTTATTTTGCTTTTGCAATCATGCTTATAGATTGATTAGTTGTTACATTAGTACATAAATGACTATTTGGAAGAAATTGGTAAATGCTTCTTGGCATCTAGAGGGAGATCTAATTAGTACATAAATGACTATAGATACACATATGCATTCTACATTTGGTAGAATTACTAGACTTATCTATCTAGCTACAAGTTAACTTGTTTAAACTAATAAAATTGTAGGCGAATGGGGATAGGATTAAACCTTGTGAAAGCAGTTGAAGAGTGGATGATGAGAAATGGAGCACATTACACTTTTCTTGCGACTGAAAAGAACAATGTGGCTTCTACAAATCTGTTTACTACTAAATGCAATTACGTTAACTTTAGCTCATTAGTCATATTTGTTCAACCACTTAGTTTACCTCTGAAAGGTCTCAAGTCTGGAGATATAAAGATTGAGAAGCTGCAGTTAGACCAAGCAATTTCTCTGTACTATTACAAGCTCAGAAGCAAAGACATTTATCCAACAGACATTGACTCCATCTTGAAGGAAAAGCTCAGTCTTGGGACATGGGTATCTTATTTCAAAGAGGATGAATGGTTTGATTTTAAGAGCAATAATAATAATAATAATAAGAAGGAGAAGAGTCATGAAGATGTTATTAGTAAAACTCCAAGCTCTTGGATCATCTTTAGCATATGGAATTCCTGTGAGGCATACAAGATTCAAAGAAGAAAGTCACATCCTTTAAAGCTTCTTCATGCAACTTTGAGCCATGCAAAAGATATAATCTTCCCTTGCCTTAAAATGCCAATATGTGGCTCACTTAAAAACCCATTTGGATATTTATTTCTTTATGGTGTGTATGGAGAGGGAGAGAGGCTTGGGGAGCTTATGCAATCTGTATTGAGATTTGCATCAAGATTGGCTGAAGATTTTAAGCACTGCAAGGTGATAATAACTGAGTTAGGAGTCGCTGATCCTCTCACTGAGCATATGCCCAGAGAATCCTCCATGTCTTGTATCAATGACCTTTGGTATTTGAAATGTCTTAATGGGGATGATAATAATAATGAGGAACAACTGATGAGGATGGGACAATTGGGGAATGTGTTTGTTGATCCAAGAGACTTTTAGCCGCGGGCTGCAGCTGCTAGCTATAATTACAGCGCCGACTCCTTATGCTATGAAAAAGACCTGACACATTATCAGTTCAGTCGATCGAGAGAGCCAGCCATTACTTGAATGCCTAATGAGATATATTTATTCTATATTTATTCTATGTATCTCAATACTTTCGATCGTCAATACATTTCAGAATTCAACTGTGTCTTGTTTGGTGGATGTTTTGTTTAAAGGAATTACTGTAAAATATATATATATACCAAATCTAATGCATGGTTCTTTTAGAGTGTTATGTTTCTTAGAGTCTTTGTTCAATTGCTAATTCAATGCAAGAAGCAGAAATGTGGGGTGATCAACTAAAGCAAAAAGCAACTCTAAATTTTCTTTTTACCTTACCTTATTTTTATTATTTTTGTTTTGGCAATTCTACCTTAGCTATAAATATAACAGCCTAGGATTTTGTTTCCGGTCTTGGTTCCAATCTGGTTTCAAAACAAATATATACGAAATTGTTCTGTAAGTTATTAAAGAAAGTTGCTTCACTATTCTCGACACTCTGACATTAGTAATTAAACGACTTCTCATACACTTCTTTGAGGTGAACAGGAATTGACGTTTAGGCTTTGAGTATAAAACGAGATGTCGAGGGTTTAGGGAAGAAGATCAGTGTAGTATTGTCGGTCAAAATCCTTCTTGATGTGACTGTACTGTCCATGGTTCACGATATTTCTTAATGGGCTGTAACCGAGCTAAGTAGAGCCGAATATCACTCTAAACAAGCTTGACTCGGTTGTGCATTAAACGAGTTCGAGTTAAGTCACGAGTCATCGAGTCAAGAAAACTCGACTCGTTTATAATTGAGTTGGCTCATGACTCGACTCGAAAAGCTCGATTATGACTCGATTAACTCAAGCTCGAACTGGCTCGATTATAGCTCGTATGGCCCATTTTTTATATAACCCGCAAATATTGTTTTATACAAATCAGATCCAATTTTTTGTAAATTTGCATCCAAATAAACACAAATCACATCCTAATCGACACATCAACAATGTATTACACAACAGATTATTGAAATCCTAAAACTTTAATTGGGGTTTGGGTTAATTTGCAACATTTTAAAACTTTTGCATTTCCAAATAGACCTAAAACTTTAATTTTTTGCGAAAAAACCCTAAACCAGCCACTATTGACTCACAAGCCAAATCAAGCCGAGCTGGGGTAGACTCAAACTCAACTTGATACCTAATTCGAGTCTTATTTGAGCTGGCTCGACTCGATTATAATTGAGCCGAGTTCGAGTATTTAACGCGCGAGGCAGCTCAGCTTAGCTCGGTTCGGTTGACACCCCTATTTCTTTTAATGAAGAAGGATTATAGTCTTGTTAGTTTCAAAGATACTAACGAAAACATTGAATATTCAAACACCTACCACTGTTTTTGAGGGTGCAATTCTATTTTGTATATGAATTCAATAGTCTGAAAAATAAGAACAACCATGGTGAAAACATCAAATATTATTTTGCTTATTCTATTTTATTTACAGTGACAAATGTGTTTTTTTTTTTTTTTTTCTTCTTCTTCTTCAGATTTTGTTTCGTAGATAATGAATGGGTAAATGGGTTAAAATGTTTCAAAAAGTTTGGGTTTTTGTAATTGAGTTTAAGAGCCTGAGGATCTCATTAAATTTTGTAAAATCTAAGGGGTATTAATGTTTTTAGACCCCAAAATGGGTTTAGGGTTAGACACTCTAATGTAAGTTTTTAAAATCTAAGGGGTGTTAATGTTTTTAGACCCCAAAATGGGTTTAGGGTTTAGAGTTAGGCGCTAATATGTAAATTTTGTAAAATCTAAGGGGTGTTATGTTTTTAGACCCCAAAATAGGTTTAGGGTTTAGGGTTAGGGGCTCTAAAGTAAATTTTGTAAAATCTAAGGGATGTTAATGTTTTTAAACCCCAAAATGGTTTAAGGTTAGGCCCGGTGCTGGCGACCCAACCAAGTGCTATTTCAATATTTAAAAAAAAAATATAAATGAATTTAATAATTAAAGGCTCCAGTAAAAGATATATGGAATGTCATTTGATAATTGTTTTCAATATATGCAATTTTCGATTGCTATTTCTTAATCTATTCAACAGTATAGCCTTACACTTATATACACACACAACAATTACATATATACCATTGACTACATATATACATAGTTTTCAACACCCCCCCTCAAGCTGGAGCATAAATATCTATCATGCCCAGCTTGTTACAAATATAGGTTACCCTTTTATCAACTAGAGACTTCGTAAAGATATCAGCTAGTTGTTCCCCTGTTCTAACATGATTAGTGGTAACTAACTTTTGTTCAAGTTTCTCGTGCACAAAGTGATAATTCACTTCTATATGCTTAGTCCGCTCATGAAAGACTAGATTGTTTGCTATATGTATGACTGTTTAGTTGTCACACCACAAGTTTATAGTCCCCAGATCACCAAACCCAATTTCTCTAAGAACATGTCTTGTCCATATAAGCTCACAAGTAACTTGTGCCATAACTCGATACTCGGACTTTGCACTTGATCTAGCTACAACCGATTGTTTCTTACTTTTCCAAGACATAAGATTTCCTCCAACAAAAACACAAAACCCAGTCACAGACCATCTATCCACAGAGGATCATGGCCAATCTACATCTGAAAATCCTTCTATCTTATTATGACCGTGGTCATTGTAAAGAATGCCGCGTCCAATGGCTCCTTTTAGATACTTCAAAATATGAAGGATAGCATCCCAATGAGATGTCCTAGGAGATGATATAAATTGACTCACTACACTTACTGAAAAAGCGATATCTGGACGGGTTACTGTAAGGTAGTTCAACTTTCCAACAATCCATCTGTATTCCTCTGGATCACTAAACATCTCTCCATCCTTAGCATTCAATCTCACATTAAGAACCATAGGAGTGTCACAAGGCTTAGCCTCAATTAGACCCATTTTGGTTGACAAGTCTAACACATACTTGCGTTGAGAGAGGAAAATCCCTTTCTTACTCCGAGAAACCTCAACTTTTAGCAAATACCTTAAAGTGCCCAAATCTTTTGTGTGAGATTTGGAAGCAAAAAAACGTTTCAAACTCTGAATGCCAACATCATCACTGCCAGTGATTACAATATCATCAACATAAACAACCAAAAGAATGATGCCAGTACTAGATTGCTTATAAAAAAACAAAATGATCATAAGCACTCCTATGTAAACCAAACTGAGTCACCACTTCGCTAAACCTCCCAAACCAAGCCCGTGGAGATTGTTTTAAGCCATATAAAGATTTTCTCAGTTTGCATACATTTCCTGACTCCCCTTAAGCAACAAACCCCAAAGGTTGCTCCATGTAAACCTCTTCAAGAAGATCACCATGTAAAAAAGCATTTTTTACGTCAAGTTGGTGGAGAGGCCAACTATATGAAGCTACAAGAGAGATGAATAGTCAGACAGAGGTCATTTTAGCCACTAGGGAGAATGTCTTAGAGTAATCAATACCATACGTTTGGGTATAACCCTTAGCCACCAACCGAGCTTTCAACTGAGCCACAGACCCATCGAGATTCGCCTTCACTGTGAAAACACATTTGCACCTAATGGCCTTTTTATTTTTCGGGTAAATCCTTTAGAACCCATGTATCATTATGTTCTAGAGCCAACATCTCTTCTTCCATAGCCCTTTGCCACCCATCATGAGTAATTGCTTCAAACACAGAGCTAGGAACAGACACAGAATCTAAAGAGGCAATAATAGACTTGGAAGACGAAGACAGAGAATGATAGGAAACAAAATGAGGAGATAGAATATGTATAAGAGCGCTTACCTTTACAAAGAGCAATGGGAAGATCAAGGTCAGGAGTAGGAGGAACCAGATCTAAAAGCGAGGCAGTCGATAGCGGCAATGGATCAAATGCTGATGCGGGTGCCTCATGCTGCTGGTGAACCCTGCGAGAGTAACCTGGGTGATAGGAGGACGAGATGGCAGAGGACTATGATGGGTAATGTTGTAAACAAGGAAATCATTAGGGAGTGTTTCAAGAGAAGTAGATGGAATGGAGGACTCAACATATGGAGTGGTTTCGAAAAAGGAAACATTGGCTGAGACAAGGTACTTACCTAGGACAGAAGAAAAGCAACGATAACCCTTCTAATATCGGGAATAACCCAAGAATATGCACTTGAGTGATCTAGGTTCTAATTTAGAGACATGGGGTCTAACATCTTGGACAAAACATGTGCACCTAAACACTTTAGGAGGAAGAGAGAATAAAGGCTGAGACGGAAAAAGAATGGAGTATGAGATTTGACCAACCAAAACAGAGGAAGGCATGCGATTGATCAAGTGACATGCAGTAGAGACATCAGTTGCCCAAAAATCTGTGGAGACTTTCATGTGGAAAAGGAGAGTACGAGCGACTTCTAATAAATGACCATTTTTGCATTCAACAACCCCATTTTGTCGAGGTATGTATACACATGATGATTGATGAATGATACCTCTAGTAGACAAAAAAGAGAAGAAAGGTGCAAAAAAGTATTATTTGACATTATCACTTCTGAAAATTTTAATAGAAGAAGTAAATTGATTTTGTATTTCAGCACAAAAGGTACCAAATATGGAGAATAATTCAGAACGATTTTTCATAAAGTACAACCAAGTTACACGTGAAAAATCATCCAAAATGGTAACAAAGTATCGATATCCAGACTTAGACAACATAGGACAAGGAGCCCAAACATCAGTGTATAACATCAAAAGGGGATGTGACTCTTTTGTTTATCCTAGGGCTGTAGGAAACTTGATGGTGTTTCCCAAACTAACAATGCCTCACACTCAAGATGTGACGATGAGCCTACATTAGGACACAACTTTTTCAAAATGCGAAGGGGAGGATGACTAAGGCAATCATGTAATAAAGATAATGATGAATCACTGGTACACACAACAGTTTGGGGTACTGGAGTAGAGACATTATCAAGCGTATACAGGCCGCCTGATACACGATCCCTACCAATAATCTGCCTCATCCCAAGATCTTGAAATATACAATGAGTAAGGAAAAAATAAACACCACAATTGAATACATTAGTAATCTGACTAACAGATAAAAGATTAAAAGGACATTGAGGAAGGCACAAGAGCGAGGAGAGAGACATAGATTTGGTAAGATGGGCGGTACCACATCCAATAATAGGTGTAGTAGACCCGTTAGCTAAGGTAATAGAAGACAGATCGGAAGAACGTGAAAATGAGGAAAGAATACCCGTATCACCCGTCATATGGTGAGTAGCACCAGAATCAATGATCCAGTTACTACTAGAAGTGGACAAACAGGTTGTAGGATTACCTAGCTGGGTTAAGGTAGTGGTAGTCGATGGGATGGGTGACTAAGAGCTAGAATTCTGAGTGAGGCGAGCATATTCAACTGCAGAGATGGTAACCTGTGATGGGGTGGGTAAGAGACCATCTTGACTTGCAACATGAACAAACTTTTGAGTGCTTTGCATATTTGAGGGCTTGCCATGGAGTTTCCAACAATTCTTTTTTACATCACCCTCGGCACCACAATGATAGCAAGTACGAGGGCCACTACCATGATTGTTCCCTGTATCACGACTCGTCCCTTTGTTGCCTTTGCCATCACTAGGCTTCATGCTAGCTAAGGCCGCATGATCTACATTAGGATCCTTAAGGATTTCTTTATCCTTAGAAACTCCTCGATCTTCCCCCTTACTAACTCTGAGAAGACGAGCAAAGACATTCGTAAGAAAGGGAAGATTCCAGTCTCAACCCAGCCAGAAAACATTGCACAACCACTTGTTATTCTTGTGCTTGCATCATCTTCACATAAGTAAGGACAGGAAACATAGCCCTTTTTTCTTCAAAAGCTTGTTTTATCTCTGTATAATATTCAAACAACGTCTTCTCTTGCATATTTGCTCGGTAGATCTTCAATAACAATTTATGGGCATGAGACAAATCTTGTTTACCAACATACAAGAACTCTAGATACTCCCATAACTCCTTGACGGTATCACAATGACTAGTTACATCATCCACGGACGAATCGAGAGTGTTTTGAATCTGATTGAAGAGTTTATTGTCTTCCATGAGCCATTTTTTTGAGTTTTACAATCACTTTCTGTTTCCTTAGGAGGATCCTCGATTAAATGGTCTCCCATGTTAATGTTGGACGCATATCATCGGATAATCCGTTTCCATTGAATATAATTCCTTTTATCCAATAACTTCTGATCGGTGATTTTGGTGGAGGAAGTGACAATTTCAATCACCATCTTCTTACAGTCCTCTGCCATCACAAAAACCTCAACACCAAACAATCCAAGCAAACACAAATAAACTAGCCACACAACCCCACAAATTCACAAATAACCCCCAACACCAAACAATCTAAGCAAACGCAAATAAACCAGCCACACAACTCCACAGATTCACAAATAACCCCTAGCACCAACCAACCAAAATAAACCAGCCACTTTCTTGTAAAAGGGATCACCGGGAACAACAGAGAAGAGAGAAACCAGAAGAGAGATTGATGTCCATTGGAAAGAGTGAAGAAAACACGTCATCCAAGGAGGCAGAGGGATTGCGTCACTGGAAAGTCAAGATGAACAGAGAGAGACTAGAGGAGAAACGCCGAAATGAGCAAAGGAAAGGGATAGGTAAGCTGGAACATAACCAGCATTCGCCAGAAAGAGAGAGTCCAAGAGCAGGAGTCGCCAGAAAGAGAGAAACCAAAGGCAGACGTCGCCGGAGATAACGGAGGAGATCGAGAATTTGTCAGACAAATTCAGACGTCACCGGAGAGAGAGCAAACATGGACATAAGGAGTCATCGGAGATGCCAATCACCGGAAAACAGAAACGTAGAACGGGTTTTAGGGTTTAGTTCTGCTATGATACCATGTTTTCAATATATGCAATTTTCGATTTCTATTTCTCAATCTATTCAACAATACAGCCTTACACTTATATACACACGACAATTACAAATATACCCTTGACTACATATTTACGTAGTTTCCAACAATAATTTAATTTTAATTGACAACTTAATTCATTACACACCAAAATCATTTATGAGTGCTGGGTCTGACATCAAAACCGTTCTCACTTTTTCACTTCAATCTTATCATTCTCACAAGATTTTTAAAAGTTTTAGTTTTTATCAACCAATATTTGAGCTTCATGGGTTGAATAATTACTAGTGAAAAGGAGGAAACTCTAGCTGGAGTTTGAAACTCACTGGCTTTAAACAGTTCCCCAACAGAAGCAGGGCCAAAAAAACACAGATATTGAACCTGGAAAAGCATTTGCTGGCCTTTCGTTGAGAGAAATTACAAAGAAGTCAGGAATTATGCATGCTCTTGTTCTATTTGATTGGTGTACATGCTACAGATCAACTGGACATTCTCATTAATAACACTTTCATCAGCATACAATGGTTACATGTTTTACAATTTTAGTGTATGAATCTGCTGTAGCTTTTGTTGATGTACAAGGCAAAGTGCCTATATTCAAACATATACACGGGGTCCTTGACTGCACTATGAATTTTTTTCCCCCAGTACAAATTAGGTAGACTGTTCTGCATTTTCGTGACATCAACATTTACTGACTAAATATTGGTTTGAGGTAGTGTTGCTGCGATGTTGTTTGCCGATCTGTATATTTTTCTTAAAGGTTTAATTCTTCTTGGTGCAGAAGATTTCGCTGTTTCAAGCAGAACGTTGAGCTTATCAGGGTCTAGAGACAACTTGTCCCTTACAAATTCATCCAAATCAAATCCACTTAGGCCTTCCAAGTCATTGCCAAGATAAGAACCTGGGGAAGGGCCAGCTGATTCCTCATTAATTTTATCTTCGTTAGCTCCTGGATTATATCTTGAAGGTTCTTTGTTGTATGAGTTGCGTTCCAAGTTCAATAGTCTCTTAATTCTGTCAAGTGCTGGGTCAATAATATCCAAAAATCCCATGACCCAAGAAGCATCATCAACAACTTCTGTTCGCTGGCACATTCATATTAATATATAAGTTGTTTTCAGTAGAAAACTGTATTTTGTGACCACTGGAAAGTAAAATTCTTCATTTCCACATTACTTCCATTTCCGAAGTAACAGAGTGATGCATAGATGGTTTACTAATGGAAAAATACAACCTATTATAAAATGAAATGTAATTATGGCTTTTGGAGATCAAAATGTGATTGATTTAGAATGATAAAGTAAGATGATCAGATTATTTCTTTTGCTGATAAATTTTGTAGGAACTATTGTCTTTACCATATAAATACAGTAATTAGTACAACTACTAACCTGCTGGAAGTAGAGATTACGAATTTCCTCAGCACGCACAGAATTTCCTTGGTCCTCCTCCAGTTGTGCCCATGTCATCCATGTTATGTAACTCTGAGAATTTATATTCAGCGAAGATCGAAATAACCTTCGAGCTGCTGATAGATTACCAGCTCTCTGTTCAAGAACACCCCAAGCCTGTAATAAATGGCAATTGTTATCACACAGCGTCAGACATGCAGAATGTCAACTAGGAAAATTATCAATATCTAGATACTATATGTGACATAGTGATGTCATTACCTGCAGACATCGAGCAGCACTCTCACTAGCTGAGCTAATTGATAGTGCTCTTTGGTATAATTCCCTTGCAGTGACTGTATTTCCTTCTTTCCATTCCATCCACCCCCAAGCCTAAGCAGCCAAATACTTCAATTTATCATTCTATTTCCCAACAGATTTGTGCGATAAAATGACAGGCATTACTGCTATCATCCAATAAATTAAATGTGTATGGAGAAATTACGATTTAAAACCCTGAATAAGGGAAGAGAAAAAATTTATGCAGCAGTCCATGTATATAATTGGTTTCTATAAAAAAAAAATACAATAAAATGTACTTGATTGACAGATCAATATTATGTGGAAAGTTTCTTACAATCCAAACTGGTTGGTGCCTTGGATCTATTTCAGAGGCTTTCCTGAACAGCACTCGAGCAAGATTTGCAGTTGAGTATCTGTATTCTATCAGAGCAAGAGACTGAAGAAGAACAGGGTCCCTTGGATTCAGTGCATGGCCTATCTTTAAAAGTTTCTTTCCCTTGTCAATATTGCCCATGTTTGCTTCAAAAACTCCCCATACATGCCAGGCAAACCTATTTTTGGGACTTGCCTGGACGGCTTTCTACAATTCAAAATAAGAAATAAGCATATAGTCATGATGGCACCATTAGAGAATACAGCCTAAAAGAGAAACGGTAGAATGGTAATAACTGATAATGATAAATGAGAGAATCTTTCCCACAAGTCAGTAATGGCTAAATTTGCCTTACAATTTGGTTCAAGAAATTGATATCAATATTAATACATGATTATATAATATAAAGGATTACCTCAAATAGTCTCCTAGCAGCAAGGTTGTTTTCCTGTTGCATCTCCAATTGTGCCCATGCCTGTACCAGGTAAAATTATGAATAACAGATGGACACAAGAAGTCAGACTTCATTGTAGCCTGACCAATGTGACAGAAAGCTCAACTTCACAGCAGATTGCCAGTGAATAGATCTTTTAAGAACTTACGAGCCAACTAGCACAGCTTTTTGCATTACACTTGGTAGCTTGCCGGAATAGGTCCCGAGCTTGCTCATAACGATTTGCTCTAGCTTCCAGCAATGCAAGTGTTTGATATATGTACTCATTTCCACCACAAAACTTAAGACCTTTAGCAAGCAGCTGCCTTGCTTTCTTGATATTACCCTGTTTTAGCTCCAGGACTGCCCATCCATGCCAAGCAGCAACGTGTCTCTTGTCAGCAACTGTAGCAGCATCAAACAACTCTCTTGCTTTTCCTATATTCCCCAATTTATTCTCCAAAACAGCCCAGCACTGTCACAAAAAATAACTATGGGTAAACTCTCAATATGAGAAATGACAGCACAAAATATGCAATTCATAGGTTCTGGCTTAATATTCCCATCTTCGCAAATCTGGTTTTACCGTATCCAACAACACATTTTTCCTGAACCCTAGCATCAATCCGCCTGGTCTATCACACGAGGAAGAATTAACCAGCATTAAATTATTCTTGCAATCAGAGGATAAAACCAGCACATGAATCAAAATCACTCAATTCCACAAGGAATGACATAAAATCCACTTTACAATTTTTCTGGGAAAAACTCCTGATGTGATGAGAGAGAATTTGAAAAGGATTTAAACTACATTACTTATTACTTGTAGAATATCCAAGGATCATTTAGACATAACATATACACAATTTCTCCCCTTTAAGATAAATACATGCATGATAAAGGGATATTTTCAATTGATAAAATAAGCATAATGTGCTGCAAAATTCAAATTCAAGATTTGTTTATCTACAAAATTAAGTTATTCAAACTTTACTTCTCCACAATTAAATGATGAAAAGCCTTGATAGATCCTGAAACTTAAAATTCCGTTCCTCAACTACCGTTCTAATGGAATGAAAGTCTATATTCCCAAAATAAGATCCAATATCTATGAGGCTGTTAAAACTTTCCAGTTCAAAGTCAATTAAGAATCGAAAATCCCGCAAACCATGGTCATAAACGCTAAAATCAGAGAATACCAATTATTTCCGGAAAATGAAATAATGCAGTACTTATTCTCTCATAGAATTTAGTAAGAATTACACAGAATTAAAATTGAAATGAAATATCAATTCTGATTCAGTAGAAGTATATGCAACCTCAGAATGTATCATAAACTTAAGCTTTATAATTTGCAATTGCATGTAAAATCAGCAAGTCTGACTTAATTAAGCATTGAACAAAATTAGTATTGCAATGTAAAATGGAACTAAGAAAAGAACAGAAATTGACCTGCCAAATGTAGGGATTTTCTCCTTGAGTAGCTTGGCTACCTTTTGCATACACAGCTCTAGCTTCAGCGGTTTTTGATTGCTTACTCAAAATCTTCCCTAAAGCCACATAAGGCCTCCCATCCTCCGGCCAATAAGATATACACTTTACACAAAATAACACACAAACCCATCACTTAATATCATCCGCTCAGCTTTTTTATATCCAACAAATAACGAGACATGCATATATATATATATATACCTTCTCAAGAATCTCCTGAGCTTCTTGATATCTAAAATTCTTGGTCAAAATCTTAGCTCTGTACAACGCCAGGTCCAAGTTCACTGTAAGCGGCTTCTCTTGAGAGCCAGAGTCCACTCTCTTAGGCTCAAAAATTGGCATCTTTTTCGCAAACTCATTAAGACTAGCATCTATGATCGCTGATGATGACGACCCATCATCATCTTCTTCACCACCACCACTGTCATCATCCTCGTCATCTGAGACTTCCTTGACCGGGCGGCGAACCACAAGAACTTTCTTTACAGAATCTTCCTTCTCTTCGACATTGAGGAGCTTGTTGTTTGGTTTTGCATTTGGTGTTGGGTCGAGGAGTAAAGGAGCGGAGGCTTGTTGAGAGTGACATGGAGGGAGGGAGATATGAGTTTTGCATGGAATTTTGAAGGGGAAGATAGATTTGTTTGGGTTTTGTGAGGGACAGAAGAGAGGCTTAGAGGAAGAAGATGAAGCAGTTGTTGTTGAAGTGAAGAGGTTCATTTCAGTTTAGAGTTTACTTTTTCAATTTTCCTTTTTTTTTAACAGATAAAACTGTGTGGTCTGCATGGAAAGGGTAACGCTAGGCGGGCTTTGGGACGGAGAAGACTGCTTGTGCAAGTACTATTCTACCCTTCTTCTTAAACTAGAATAGCCACTATAGATCGACTGAAGTTATCTAAGCGATTTGAAAGGTTTTCTGATTGGGGGTATTTTAGTATTTTTGGAATAGGTAACTGGACTGAGATTGGCCACGTCGATGACTCCTTCGAGCAGTGCTTGCACTTTTTAATCTAAAGAAGATTTTTCATGCCACGCGGGAGCCAGTATTGGTTGGTTTGTGTTGATCGCGATAGTTTTTTAGCTACAAAGTTCAGCAGCATTGGAGAGGCAATCCCATGGTACCACCCCATCTTAAAGATTCATTCCATAGGACACCTAAAATAAACGTAAGTTCATTTGGAAAAGAGCAGTGCTACTCCCGATAATTTCTTCCCCAATTTTGACTATTAATTCATAATTATTCAGTTGTAATTATTAAGTAAGACTCATCAAAAGTTAACTAATTGAGACCTACTACATTAGGATTGTGAGAAAAAGTTATAGGTATAGCATTTTTCTTTGAAAAACATAGCTTTTGAAGTGAATATGTCAATCCTGTAGCATGAGACTATGACTTAACCTCTCTTAAGGTGAGTGGATTAGACTTTTTTAGGTATATTACTCAAGAAGTCTTGAATTAATTCTCTCGATTGTTAATATGAGTGATCACTTAAGAGTTTATCCGACATTACTTTAGGACCCTGAGAGTTCGATTTCCCTCTGTTGCTAATAAAGGTGACCTAGAGAGTTTATGGGACCTCGGGGATTACTCCCTCAGTTGCTAATAGGATGACCACTAAAGGGTTTAGAGGACTTTAAGAGATTGTTTCTCTCGTTGCTAATAGAGGTGGTCACCGGAGGGTTTAAGAGATATGGAGAGATTAGTCGAGGTTTAAATACCCCTAGGTAACCACAAAAAAAAAAAAAAAAAAAAAAAAAAAAAAAAAAAAAAAAAAAAAAAAAAAAAAAAAAAAAAAAACAAAATTTTTGACAAAGATAGCCATTGGCGTCTTAACTAATTGAATCTTTTATGCACATTTCATGAAATCTTGAACTCCATGGCAACATCTATGGTAGTTTCATGTGTGGAGAATAACTTAGTGTTATTCGATCAGGAATAAATTAATGGCAATAACTGAATTAACAACAGTGCATCCAAATTCAGAAACAAAAAATTTACAGGGCTTTTTACAGAGGAAATTGGTAACAAGAAGTAAGACTTATGTGAAAGCTTTATTTGAAGCACAAGATCACTGATTATCAAAATCCAGACCAATTAAGAAGAACAAGGGTGTCTAATTTTGGCTGCTGCTGTTTGTATCATTTACGAGAAACTGGTTTGTACAAGGAATTTTTCTTCTTCTGGACGAAATAAAAAACCGTTGCTACAATCATCAGCCCACCAAGAACTATGGCACCTGAAAAGAATTAACGCAGCAAATAGATATCTTGTTAATTATTTGAATCCAGCATACGCATATTTCAATTGGTAGTTTTGTGTTAAAAGAAGCTCACCTGAACCAACGGAATTCAGTTCAAAACTGGCCGAAACAACAACTGAATAATCAAATGGAACAAGTTAATGTCGTTGATGAGTAATTGTTAAAGCTAAAACTTGTGCTAACTTGCATGATTATTACCGTCTTGGGGACAGCTAATTGAGTGGCGTCCATCGGGGCAAATACAGAAGAAGTTCTCGGTTGAACTGCTATTAGTGTATCCACAGAATCCGTTGGAGTTAAAGGCCTCGCACAATTGACATGAACCAGATGGTGTTCGCCATGTTAACTTAAACCCTTCTGGTAAAGCTTTGTTAATGCTGCTAACAAGAAGTTCTTTATCATCAAGAGCCTTTTCAAGCACCGGAACACTCACGGTTGACTCACAGTAGCCGTGCCAGTCAAACTCTGGAATGGCTCCGATTGTAAACACGAATGAACGCTTGGCACCGGATTGAAGACAAGCTATATCTGGTAGTGAAGGAGGATACAAGGTACAGTTATAGAAGAAACGTAGCAATTTATTGCCAGAAGTGAAGTTGAACAGATAAGAGTTGGTTAGTGTAAGTGTAAAATCATGGTGGATTTTTGGACAGTTGTTTGTTTCTGTGAGTTCAGTGTGAGAGACGATGAGAGAATTCTCCAAGTAATTAATACTTCTAACCTGGTAGAGATCGCTGGATAGATTTAGGATTGGAATTTGAGCATGGCAAGAGAGGTTCAGGCCCTCGTAGCCACAGTGTTCAAGTTGGAGAGCCTGGAGCCAAAATGGGTACCTGATGGTAATGCCATTACCACAGTCAAAATGAGGGCAAATTCTGGTGGGTGGCTGTGCTGAGTTGCCATTGATGGAGGAGAAGAGGATGCTGATGATTACAAAGAAAGTGGGGATATTGCAAGCTAAAGAGGCCATGGTGTGGTCAATTTGTTCAGAAATTGATGTATTGGATTAATTTGTCCAGGCCATGTACGGTTGTTACTTAATCTTTTATTTTGGCATATTTGTTTAACCTACTAATTAAAATATGAGCAAAAGTCCAAACGGAGTAAGTAATTACATCAGAAGATGATGAATTTTTTGGAATACTCAATCATTTAGTTAAGAACTATACGCATGCTTTATGTTGCTTTGACTTTTTTGTTGGTCCAATGAGCATTCAAAGCATTTGCGAGCTAGAGTTGACATTATTCAAGCTTTCCCGCCAATTTTTCCTGTGAAACAGGGCTTTATGATTGCAACTTAGACCTCGGCGAGTCCGGTTCAATTTCAACTAGATAATCCAACAAGGGAACAGTGAACAACCACACCATTACGGCTACTGAACCAAGAACAATATTGACTTTAGTTTGACAGTAAACAGCAGCTGATCATGTCTGTTCTTTGCGAACCAAAAGGCCAATAATCAAGCACCCTGAAGCCGCCACATTTAATTCAATTCAAACCAAGCAAGCCATCCCTGTTATCTCTTTCTTCCTCATTCTGGTATTGTAACCACAGGAGTTTAAATTGAAATTTTTTGAATAATCAAAATTGAAATAATATATATTTATATATATATATATTCTATTCATTAATCCAGGTAAAATGGGAAAGAATAGATCACGACTATTTGAACAGGGGTTTTGTTTTGGGGTGTGTTTTGTACTGTCATGTCATCCCACAAGGGCGGTCGGCAATTGGTACACAAAAGACAGATCTGATTTATTACGTGGTGCTTTGGTCCTGCATGCGCATCGCCGGGTCTTTAATTACAGGCGCTAGAACAAGTCATTTCATTTCATTTATGTCTAACACATTATACACCATGCAGATGCTGTTAAGAAACCATAATCAGAGTTCAGAGTTCAGAATTTATTGGAGCTAATGAACTACTGTTTCTTATGTTCCCTCAATTAAAAAAGTGCAATTTTTATATCGATATAGATATAGATTTTAATTTCCTGGAGAAACAAGTTCCGGGCAAAAGGAAATGTGGTGAGAGAGAACAAATATCTCAGCATAGAAATGGGGAACTGTAAATTTGCTAGGCTAAGGCTACCTCCAGCTGACACTTACCATGTTTTAGCCTGCAGTCTGATATGATAAGACTTGAGGTTTTCAAGCCTAGTCAAGCCATATATATATATATATATATATATATAAATCCACGTGACCTTGATAAATAAGCATTCATCTCTTATGACAGTTTGCATTTGAAATGTTACTTGAATTTCCTAGATCCAGCTTCAGGATATGTGGGAGCTAGCTAGCTCTCTTGTTTACAAAACACCACTGACTATTTCATGATTTTTGAGGTTGGTTTTGAGTTCAAAGATCCTGATGCTTTCGGTTAATCATATATCACGCACCTTTTCACTTCCCTCTCTTTGAGCTTTTTCTACACAGAACTTCATTTCTCCAGGTTGTATTCATTAATTAGCTATAATTAAAGAGAGGGTTTGCTACTTAAGCATCCGGTTTCCTGAAAGCCTTAAACCTCACTGCCTCTTTACAAGTCTTAATCTTAATAAATGCATGACCAACACATGCATGGGTCAATAAAGTTAAAATTTTCCTTTTGCATAAAGAAAAGAAAATGTTCTGTATAAATGAATGTGGCCACGTGGGTGTTTGCTTATATGAATTTGGTAAACTTTCATTCTTTTGAATGGTTCGATAGGAGGCTATTAATTCCTATAAGTTCCTCTTTTTAGGCAGGTTCTGCGCTGCCAATGCCTCACTGCTCCTTTCTTCTTAAAGCTTTGGCTGCTCAGGAATCATGGACTTTGTCCAATTTCAAGAAAATCCTATTAGAATTCCTCCTTGTATGTATGCAAAAGAAAAGGATGAAAATTTTCTTTTTGACCAAAAGAGAAAAATGGTTTCTCTCTCGTCAAACAGCTGCTTATTAATATGACTATGAGCTGCAGCAACAAGAAGAATACAGAGTGTTGTATTACTACAAGGTCAAGTGATGTTACAATACAAGACACCTACTTTTTATCTTATTCTTACTTTCAAACTTAATTTATTAAAGCCATAATTGCAGATAAAGACCCTAACTTTTCATTATATTAAAATCCACAAACCAAAAGCATAGAGAAAATAAAAAGCTGAGGGAAAACTTGGGTGATCAATTGATCTTATTCTTACCCAAAATGGGGAATGAATTAGCCCAAGATTGACTTTTTTTTTTTTTTTTTGGTGGTATATTTAACAAAATAGCCTATATATTCAGTTTCCTCTAGCCTCTAATGCTTTACTGACCAAAGAAAAAGATTTCTTTAATTTTAGTTTGAATAGGAAAGAAATTAAAAGTTGTTTATAAACATTTTCCTGTACTTGTAAAAGTGTTGGGAAACCACCTTTTGCCACTGCGCATTAAATGGCTGCTGTCTTTCATTTGTCCTGCAGGAGAAAAAAGTAATGAAATGAGACGAACTAGACTAGACTGTTTGTAATGTAATGGAATTTGGTTTCTGTGATCCTCAGTCTTCACCCTTCTAAGCCTGCTGCTGCTGCATAACTGTACTTTACTTCACAGTACAAAAATAAATAAGTAGGAGCTACAAGCCTACTTCAAACTTCAAAATCCTCCTCCATTTGGTTTGTAGTAACTATTTAGCGCCAGAAGCAATTGCCAAAGGAAACACATGCCAAACCGCCCAATTCAAAACAATTCCCAGCTTCTGACCCAGAAGCCATCATGAACTCTTTTCATAAGTGCTTCCTCTACTTGATGCTGCTGATCATCATTGTTATAGTTTGCAATCTTGGAAAACATTTGGGTACTTCTAAACTTGTATTCTTCATTTTCAGATTTTTTTTTTTTTTTAAATCCTGATCAGCAACTGAACTTTGTTTTTTGTCTTGGAATTTCTATGAGAATCTGAGAGTTTATTTTTATCTTTGGCAGGACCTTCAAACAAGTCCTTGAATTCAGTCTATGTAGACAAAAACCAGTCAGCAGTGGTAGCTATGCAAACTGAAGTATTATACTTAAGCAATAGGAAGCTTTTGCTACATGGTAAAGATTAAAGAATCTNCAAAAGCCATCATGAACTCTTTTCATAAGTGCTTCCTCTACTTGATGCTGCTGATCATCATTGTTATAGTTTGCAATCTTGGAAAACATTTGGGTACTTCTAAACTTGTATTCTTCATTTTCAGAATTTTTTTTTTTTTTTTTTTTAATCCTGATCAGCAACTGAACTTTGTTTTTTGTCTTGGAATTTCTATGAGAATCTGAGAGTTTATTTTTATCTTTGGCAGGACCTTTTTTTTTTTTTTTTTTTTTAATCCTGATCAGCAACTGAACTTTGTTTTTTGTCTTGGAATTTCTATGAGAATCTGAGAGTTTATTTTTATCTTTGGCAGGACCTTCAAACAAGTCCTTGAATTCATTCTATGAAGACAAAAACCAGTCAGCAGTAGTAGCTATGCAAACTGAAGTATTATACTTAAGCAATAGGAAGCTTTTGCTACATGGTAAAGATTAAAGAATCTATATATTCTTAGCTTTATGCTTCCGTAACATTTCTGTTCTTTGTCATAATTATAACTGCTTTTTTTTTTTTTTTTTTTTTTTCTTCATCTTCAGGTTCTTGCACCAACAGAGATATAAGTATCTCACAGAGCAAAGATTCCACATCTGGGATCCCACAATACATAGTTCAGATTATTAACACTTGTGTTTCTGGTTGTGCCCCTTCAGATATCCACCTTCACTGTGGTTGGTTTGCTTCTGCAAGAATAGTAAATCCAAGAACCTTCAAGAGACTCTCTTTCGATGATTGTTTGGTTAATGGAGGAGAGCCATTGAAGACCAGTCAGATCATCAGGTTCACTTACTCAAACTCCTTTATGTACCCACTTGCATTCAAGACAGCTAAATTTTGCTAAGCTTAACTACATAGAAAAATGATGGGATTAAAGCTCGACCCAATGTTCAAATACCAAAGAAGAATCAACAAGGTTTCAGCTTATTCACCGCATAGCCAGCGGAACCTATTGCTCTTTTTGAACTCAAAACCTGGTTTGCATTTTTGTGATATTACTATCTGTCAATATAAGGTCTTTTATAATTCCCATAAATGTTCAGAATTTCATTACTCTGGAATCAAAGTTTTTCAAGTCAAAAAGTTCTGTATATGTGCCTGCATGGAAGGTCTAAAACTGAAACTCAGTGCTTTTCTGTTTAGCATCCCGTGTGCTTTTAAGCCTATTACCACCATCTTGTTTAGAGACAGGAAAAAGAAAATTACTTTTGTTTTTTGTATGGAGCTGTAGATGTCGGTCTTTTTGCTTAGGATGGGTGGAGCAATTTGCTGACTTGTCAGCTAAGTCAGATTTGAAAATAGAAAAATGACAAAAAGTTGCAACAAGAAAGCAAGCAAAAGCTGTGAAATGGGATTTTACTGAACTTATCCCTTGGTGAGTTGACAAAGGATGTTTAATGTTAGCATCAAGGCTCACTGCTCGAGAATCATAAATTGGAGCAACTGTTCTGTTTCAGGAATGTTGGTTATCTGATTGGCACCATTTAGAGACTTGTTATTTGGTAAAGCTTTCATTGTTGTGACTGAACAAAGTGAGCCAGAAATGTACTAGTCTTGTAACATTGTTTGTTAAAATGGGTCAAAATACCTGAATTTGAAAGTACCCTACCAAATTTTTCGTTTAAAGTTTTAACTTATGTTAAGAAAAAGACTTAACACAATCCAAAAGTTAATTGAAGGGAAATTAGCATGCAATTCTGTAAGCATAAACTTGTGAAATCTAACATGACATTAAGGTTTCCTCAACTAAATGTTTACTGCAACTTAGTACAAATCATTAGACTTCAAAAATTTGAGTAGAAAAGTCTTAACAAATGTCCTAGTTCTGGACTTCCTGTGTATTTACAGCTTCTTAGTAGAAGAAATATAAGGGCATAAAAAGCAAACAAGCATAGTAAACTATGTTTTATCGTCTTCCCCCTGGATTCACCATCAGTGAGAAAACTTCATTGCATTGGCGGCATCATTTTTCCAGGCTTACAAAACTATCCTCATCAGTTCCTGACATAGCAGTATACGTTGCATAAGTGTCATCGGCGTTGTTATATGAAACCATTTTAGGTTGCTCAGGAGTTTTCTCCAACTGGAGTGAAAACTCAAGATTCCACAACACATCGCCCATTGTAGGGCGATCAAGCCCTTGATCAGCTACACATTTCTCAGCTGTCTCGGTGAACTTTCTCAAGCTCAGAGGATTTATCTTTCCTTTAAGATGTGGATCAATAATGTCCTCGAGAATACCCTTCCTTTGGCAGTGTAAAGCCCAATCAACAAGACTAACTTGTTCCATAGGCAAAAGAGGATTAAGTGCTGGTCTTGCACACAACACTTCGAAAAGGACTACCCCAAAAGAGTAAACATCTGATTTTTCTGTTAATTGTTGCCTGCGGAAGTACTCAGGATCTAAGTAACCGAAGCTGCCTTTCACCATTGTACTAACATGAGTTTGGTGGAGATTAGAACCAATTTTTGATAGCCCAAAATCGGAAACTTTTGCCACCCATTTCTCATCTAATAGAATGTTTGTAGTTTTCACATCCCTGTGAATGATTGTGTACCTGGCACCGGTGTGAAGATAATGAAGTCCCCTTGCAGCACCAATACATATTGCTAATCTTTGCTGCCATGACAAGGCAGGTTTGTTGCTCCTATAGAGGTGTTCCCTTAAGGTCCCATTAGCCATGTAATCATAAACCAAAATCATCTCTCCATCTTCTTCACAAAACCCAATCAAAGACACTAAATGCTTGTGTCTCAGCCTTGAAAGCATCTCAATTTCTGTCAAGAATTCATCAAGTCCTTGTTCTGAAGATGGATTTGATCTTTTAATCGCAACCTTTGTCTTTCCATCAATCAGGCCTTCATAGACCTTACCAAATCCTCCAACACCGATGACCTGTGATTCACTGAAGTTCTTGGTGCCATGTTTAATCTCCGATAAAGAGAAATGTCGACAAAGACCTGCTGCAACTGATGAAAGCTGGCTACTGGCAATACTTTTACCTGATGTTGTTGAGTTGCTTGTTGATGTGTGGGAACGTCCATACAGTGGCAACCAATTGCCTCTAGAGGATGGGTTTCCATCACCTTTCCTCTTCTCTTTGGTGAAACAAATGAAGAAACCAGCAACTACAGCACAACCAACAACCCCTCCACTAATGCCACCAATCACATGTGCAGCCCTTTCTGATCTGGAGGGTCTAAATTTCTTGGGAGCATCGTCAGCTTGAATCGGCATTGGGGATTGCACAGGATTTGGAGCTGCCAAATTCCCCCTTGTGTCATTCATCTTAAAAATCTCCAATCCATTGAGAATTGCATCATAATATTGAGGCTTCGTTGACACACTTGGGTGCAATGCCACCCATAAGTCTTCATCGCTGGCATAAACTGCATAATCCTTATACACTGGTACTCCTTGTGATTCAGCCCATTCAATCACATCAGCATTTTCTTTTGCTGTTTGGTTATTCACAAAAATATTAAACACCCTTTGGTTAACCTTCTCCAAGTCAAGCTCACAGAAATGAAATCTAACAAGATACGTAAATTTTGCATCAATCTGAAACACCCATGTTAGGTTATAATTAATGTTTATATTTGCATTTGGACCCATTGACCTAGCTGTATTATAAACATCCAAAGGTGCAATTTCTTTTGACACATTGCTAGGATACTGAATCTTGATACTTTTATCAGCTTTATAAGTGACACCAAAAGCGGCACTAAATATATAAGGTGAATCATCATACCATGTTCTTGTAAGACCTGAGTCATCAGTTGGAAGAATGAATTGTCCACCAACATTTAACCTAGCAATTGTTTGAAAGGAAGAGCTCTCAACCTCCACAAATTGATCATTATATCCAACCAAAGGCGCCGGCTTGAAAATATCGGGCATTGGAATCACTTCAATACCATTAACAAAAGCATAGGCATCCTTCTGTTCCAAAGTAGGCTTAAAAGTTATGTCGAGATCACCAGATTGAGCTGGTACAAGAGAGAACTCTTTCATAATAGAGACTTGAGTTAGAGCTTGTGCTGTTATGGAGGCGCTGAAATTGTGAAGGAGTGTGAAACCATTTGCAATGACATCAAGATAAGACTTTGATGGGTCAAGAGTACCATAAGAAGTTGAATAAAAATGAAGCCTGAGCCAAAACCGCTGCCCTTTTGCAACAAGGATCTTGTACGTTGACGTTGATGTGAAAATTCTGGCAGTCATGTAAGGGATGGTTGATGGCAACGAAGGGTCTTGAACGTGAGCTGAAAGGATCATTGAATTTCCTGAATTTGAAAGTAACTGTGAATCTGGTTTCCACGTACGACCATCTGTGTCTTCAGCATCAGTTGAGGCACCACATGCGAGGATATATGATGCATCAGAATCTGATGGAGTGGTTTGGCTTACAATATGAAACACACTGTTTAATGTGAGAAGTAAGGAAAAGATAAAAAACAAAAAACGGGTATTGGAGCTCATCTTCAAAGACAGAAACCCTTTTGAGGAAATGCAGGAAAGAGTGTGAGAATCTGAGAGAGAAAGTGATGAAAATATGAGAAGAAAAGTAACTGTTCATTTGCAATGAATGCTTATTTAACATGTACTGTGCCGTTTCTTCGGGTTTGATTTTATCTTCTTCCACTATTAATTATATGTCATTGCTGGTAAGAGTAAGGAGGGATATCTCTTGAGTAATACACTTAATAATCTTTATACAACTTAATAATCTTTATACAACCACTCAACATAAAGACAAATCTTGCTTGTATATAGGAAATGTTGGACATAAAGATTTTGTATTAATGGATATGCTTTGTTTTTTACCAGGCGATACTGTAACCTAAACATGGTTCAAGCCTCAAGGGGCAGTTGGATTTTGTATTTCATCTGAATTAGTGATTAATAAATTCTTAACTGGATAACGTAAAAAGACTTTCATATGAAGAAATTACTACAAAGTAGTAGTATGACACGAGAGGATCCAAATCCAATGTATGTATACTTTCAGGATTTCAAAGCTTGCCCCAGTTAGGAAGGAAAAGATTAAAACAGAAACTCCTACGAAATGATAGAGAGGGAAAGATTAAAGCAAAAACTCTTGCAAAATGATGGAAAGAGAGTATAGCTCAAGAATTCATGCTTCGTTGGGCTTAGTTATTGGTAGGGGTGAGCGTGAATTTAGGGTGTATTTGTAATTTCTGTAAATAGATGGGGTTGTTCAAATTGTTCATAGGGTATATTTGTCATTTTTTAATAGTAGGGGTGTATTGAATTTCCTTGGGTACCTGGTTCCAGCCATTTAGGAATCAAAGCTGGTCGATTCCAGTTTAGGATCCAAGAACTGACCGGTTTCGGTTCCATGGGATTTGGGCGGGTACCCGAACCACTCACCTAGTGGTCGAATAAACTTATTTGATTTTTAATCACTTTTGAAATTATTTTAAGTTCTTTGGTTGCTTAGGATCTTCAATAAAGAATAATACTACTTATCACAAATACTTGTCCCAAAATTCATATATCAAATGATGTGTCGTCACTTGGGATAAGTTTTAGAAAGAACAGTATTTTTTTTTTTTTTTTTTTAAAGTAATGCTACATAAGTACATATACAAAATTACAAACTTCATATACTAACCATTACAAACTTATTGATACGCCAATCCTACGTATTTGACATATCATTTACTTTAATTTATTTAAGAATTAATGACATTAGTCCCCCTAAGGTACAATATAATAACAAAAATCTCTTTGTCATTAATAAACTGTTAGTGAGTTATTAAAATTTACACTCTCGTACATTAATAAATAACACCTAGAACTTAACACAGGAAAATTTCATTATTTTTAAACCTAACGAGGATTTTTGTTATTATATCATACCTTAGAAGGATTAATGTCATTATTTTTTATTTAATTTATCTTTAATATTTTAGTTTATTTAATTTATCAGTCATTCAATCATGTTAAAAAAACATCAATTTATATGAGTAAGTTTATTTACAAAGTTTTTATGTTACGAATTTTGGGAGTTTCTCTCGTAAATCCTTTTTGAAGTTATTTAAAGTGTTGAAATTTTAAAAATATTTTAATTCTGTTTTATAAATTTAACTTGATTTATTTATGTATATTAAAATCATTTTGTTAAAATATACTGGAAAACTCTTTTATATTTTTCCTAAATCGATATATTATTTTAATAAATTCTACTAAAAAAAAAAAAAAGAGGGTTAACGGCATCGTTTTATCTACCATATTGACTGTTGTTTACTTAATAAAAGGATAGTAAACGGCAATGGGAGAATCTAGAGAAACTCAAAACTTATAAATAATATTCAACAAAAAATGATCAAAGCATCAAACACTAAACAAAGCTTTAAAAAAATATTGTTTCTTTACAAGCCCACTTTGTCATTTTCTTTCATGAACAATTCCAATTCCTTAACAAAGCATCTTTAACCTCACCCTACATCTCAAACATCAACCACTTTCATTACTGCCAAACTCATCCATTAAACTGGGAAAAGCCATGTCAACTCCTCTGAGCCTCACCTCCAATTTCTTCTTCTTCATATTCACAGCAACAGTCCTTTACATAGCCTACACCATCCCCAAACAGGAACCAAACCAAACCAATTTAGTTTTTTACGTGCATGATTATTTTAGTGGTGTCGATGCATCAGCAATCACAGTGGCCGGGAAAAGCGGACCCACATCTCATATCCTCCACTTTGGCACTATTGCAGTGGTAGATGATCCAGTCACAGAGGGGCCAACCATCGAGTCTAACGAGATAGGCAGGGCCCAAGGTTTGTATATAAACTCTCAGTTAGATGGGAAGGGGTTGCACATGGCTTTTAGTGTCATATTCACTGATGGAGAGTTGAAAGGAAGCACTTTGGAGATTCAAGGAGCTGATATTTTTTCAATGAAGGAGAGAGAGTTTGGTGTTGTTTCTGGGACTGGGTATTTTAGATTTGTTAAGGGTTATGGGATCATGGAGACTGAGTTTATGGATATTGCTAATTTGAGAGCTGTTATTAAGCTCAATGTAACAGTTAAACACTACTAATAAAATGTTGATTTTGCTTTGTTTTGAGTTGATATCAGAAATCTGGTTAAATTCACACAATTTTCTACACTAAATTTTCTTGTTATCAATTATAATTTCATACTGAATTTTTTATGGACCTTGGGCAGTTCTTGGGCCTTATAAGTGAGCCCTTTCACCCTAGGTGTAGGCCCAAACAACTAACAAAAATCAGCGTCTAATTTAACCGCGAAATTCAGTTATAATTATCTGTTAATGGATAATATCTCTGTGCCTGGTTCTTTCTCATGGCTTTGAGCTTCTCCATCAATGCGACAATTTCATCTCAACACCAAGGTTGTTTCTTCTTCTGGGTCATGTGACTTTTTTTTTTATTATTATTATTTAATGCTGCTTTTTAAGTATATGTATTTTGTGCTCTACATTATAGTGAAAGGGAACTTCAGGAACACCAAGGGTCTTCAAAACGTCAAGAACCTTTTAAACGCAATTGGGGTTCCTTCAGTTGCATCTTCTCCCCATGAATCTCTCCGAAAAGGCAACTGGGTTAAGCTTATTTGTGGTGCTAGTTTTGAGGTATTAAAAATCAAAGCTCTTAAACCGCGCATAGTATAAATTTATTTCCTTTCTTTTAATGATTTTACAGTTTGCTAATCAAACAAAAAAATTTATTCTTTGAGCAAGGATGTAGCTGACATCAGGAATCTTTCTCTAGTTTACACTTTAGCTGGAGGTAAAGAAACTTGTTAATTGCTTATGAAACTGCACATGTGGACGAATGCTCAAATAGTTGTACAGGGCTTTTTTAAGTCAAGATTTGTGATCTATGTTTCATTTGAATAAATGAATTGCAGTGGATTGCATTGACTGCGCCGCAGATGCATCTGTAGTGACTGCGGTGAGCCAAGGTATTGAAGCAGCAAGGGAGATTTTGCCCATAAGGAGGCCTTGGACGATGATAAGCGTTAATGATGACGAAGATCTTCACTTTCGTAAAGCTGGTAAATGCTCCCCTCTATATACCATGAGCATTACCTGAATTGGCATCAGTGTTTATAGAAACTTCCCTTGAATTGAGGATAAAAGGTCTTACTACTATGAAACGCCCTATCCATTATGTTTAGTGGATGCTCTTCTTGTATATGCATTTGAACTACATTTATTGTTTCATCACCATATCATATAAAGAAATTCAGAGTGTGCTTAGAAAAAACTTTACAGCAAATACCTAAGCGTTCATTATAGGACAAGTTTGCGTAGAGAAAATTTTATAGGAAACAAGAAGTTTGTTTGTTTAGATTAGTTCTTTTGCAAACAGCTTTTCCAAGGAACAATGAGGCAAGTCTTATTAGTTGAGTGTACTGCAATTCACTAATCAATTTAACCTAGGGCACATAACTAGCAAGAGGAATAGTGCATGGTCTTTTCTTTTGATTTTTGGATGCCACAAGAGAAATAGTAAAGACATTTCAGCTTCATTCAGTTTTTAGGTCCTTTTAGGATATAATTTGTAAGCTGCATTATCTGTCAGCCTTGGGCAAGAGAAGGCAGAATTTATGAGTAATCCACAACCCATTAGAGCTGACCGAGGCATCTTCTTAACAGAATTTGATCCAGAGGACTGTCCACTAGACTGCACAAGGCCTTGTGAAATTGTTTGTCCTGCTGATGCAATAGTGCTAGAGGGTAAAAGATCAAAAGCAGAAGTTTCCCATGGTACCAGCAACCCTGGTGGATTTAAGGTTTTTGACTTAATATTTGTTCTGAGGTTTCCATGTCTTTCACCATGGAATACATTTTAATACTTTATGCTAATTAAAGTTGAAATGCAGGGTGGAGTGATTACTGAACGTTGTTATGGCTGCGGTCGTTGCTTCCCAGTTTGCCCTTACGATAAAATAAGTGAGTCTAGCTTTCATTTATTATGATTTCTTCTTTCCCTTTATGTTGACTCTGATTTGGTCTAAACTTAGTAAATGCTTCAAGATATTGTCCTTGTGGAATTTTTCAATCCATGCTTACCTCTCACTCAGAGATAGATTATGTTTACCTACAATTTCTTTCAAGTTTTTATTTTTGTTCTTAATTTACTTGTTCTAATTGTTCTAGGAGTGGTTACTTATGTAAGAGATGCTGCTGCCACAGCTGAACTTCTTAAAAGAGATGATGTTGATGCTGTAGAGATACACACGAGCAGAAGGTAAAATTTCACTATAGATGAAGTAGTATATAGTATAAGTTATTTCTGAGGAGATTCAAAATGCTTTAAATTTCAATTCATAACCTTCGGACCACAACTCTATCATCGTCTTAGTTACCATGCAGTTACTTTATTTTGAACAGCTGTTCAATGCACTCAGATTTTCTTTCTCTTTTGATGCTGTAGGCAGACTACTCTCTTCAAAGAACTTTGGGATGGTTTGAAAGACTCAGTTAAACATTTGAGACTAGTAGCAGTAAGTATGATCCATGTCCTGATCCCTGAATCTTTTCTGAAGATAAGTAGTTAGCTCTCCGGGATCAACCAAGTTGTAAATTTGTTAGACTTCATATTGAGCCCCTTAGGGATTGTGAATTAAGCTCTAATTTCTCCAGGTTAGCTTACCGAATTTTGGAGACACAACTCTATCTTCAATGAACACAATGTACTCCATTATGGAGCCTCATCTATATTGCTCTAATTTATGGCAGGTATGCCTTTTTTGAAACCCAGTATTTATAACTGCTATTAAATAAAAATGCTGAACTGTTGGATGTGGAATACACATGACTAAAAGTTGGATGGCCGCCCAATGAGTGGAGATATTGGACGAGGTGCCACAAGGGAATCTGTTGCATTCGCAGTTCGTTTGGCAGCTGCCAAAGACAGGCCTCCTGGTATGTATATGGAATAAAAATGTAGAGTTAAACATTTTTCCTTGAAGAATTTGTAATGTTTTCTTCTTTATTGCACATGGTAGGTTTTCTTCAATTAGCAGGTGGCACAAATGCTCACACAGTTGATGGCTTGAAGAAAGAGGGACTTTTTCAAACAACATCCACAACCAGTAACTTTCTTCATTTTTTTTCTTCAAAGTTTTTGTACTCTGCTTTCTATATTATATTCAACTATTCAAGTGTAATGTTTCTTTTCGCTTATCATATTTTCGATTCTCTCCGGAAACTCAGGGAAAGAAAAACTAACAGCCATTTCACCAAGTACTTCACAGTCTCTAATTGGTGGTGTTGCTTATGGTGGCTATGCTCGAAAGGTCAATCATATTTGTTCTTCACAACTTCCAGTGCCATTTTTCAACTCCTTTCTTGATTCTTTTTCAGCTAAATCTTTAAGATCAATGACATTCTATTTCAATAATTTATTTTTCAGATTGTTGGAAGGGTCTTAAATTCTTTGCAAACGCAGCATGGTCTTTCTGTTATTGAGGATCACCCAGAACATCTCTTGGAAGCTCTTCAAGAAGCCATTGCTTTAGTTGGAACTGTAAAATGTTTTGAATACCCCTTAACTTCATAATTTCGTACATACAAATGTAAACGGGTGAACAATTATAAAAGACTCTTCTTAATTCTAAACAATGTTTCAAAAGACACTTAGATCTTGTCTTAGATTCTGTGCAGATTCTTGTTTAGAATATTTCAAGCAAAATACGGTGAGTCATGAAGACACTTAGATCTTGTCCTTGATCCTGTGCAGAATCTTGTTTAGAATATTTCAAGCGCTATACGACTCGAACAACTCAGTTGAACTCACCGCTCAAGCAAAGCACGACTCGAGACAAATACCAAGTAAACAATTTGTAATTAGGTTGGTAGGGGCCGCGCGAACGCAGGCCCCCGCTGCCACAAATTATGACGTAGGCTCTCCCACTTGGGGAGACCTTAGAGTGGTGCACCGTCCAAGTGCAATGATGGCCACCACCCTAGGCCCTGGGCCTTCTTGATCACCCATCGACCCCGTCCAGGTAAGTATGTTTGTCGGTCATTTGAGCTCCTTATTTATATAACTTCTGTCTAGTTATAGTTTTGTTTCTTCTCTATGTGGGACTTCGTGTGATGAATATATACGGGAGGCGGTTTCCTTTGTACGCAGATGGTCCATGACACAGGATCTTGTATGTTTTGTATTTATACCAGATCTGTTAAATAAGAAATTAACAGTTAATCAGTGGGACATACAGCCAATACCCCAAGAACAGTTGAGTAATAAATCAAAGATTCAAAAGATAAAACACTTAATTATTCAGCAAATTAAGACAGCCCTGAATAACTTGCTCCTATAGAGTCCTAGTTAAGAAAATCAGTTCGCCACTGTCCAACCTTTAACGTAAACAGTAGATTTCTCCAGCAGCCTAACCCAGATAGCTTTTATGTCTATCAATTCATGTATTTAAAATGGCAGTAATACTATATTTATCGACCCAAATACCAATTTTTATATACCGCCTCACTACCTAACAACCCAAATCTCAAAATTTAACTCAGAAATGTGTCCTGGGTCGGTAAGCCTAGCATTACTGTTAAAATGATCTCCATGCACTTCATGTATGTATCCAAATGGAATCCTCTTTAGATTAATTTAATGAAATAGTATCACTACTTGTACAGATAACGTTACAACGCTTCACTAGATTTGGTGGGGTGCGCCAGGACCTTGCAGTAGTGCAACGCGTGGGCGACGCTTGAGGGCCCCGATAGCAAGCTACCGTGGTGGGCTCTCCCCCTGAAAAAATTAATTTAATATCGTGTGGACCAATGGCCCACGTATCAGATATTAAACTGATAAGAACAGATACTACACTTGATCTTAGCCAAAAGGCCGAGAAAGGTATGAGTTCTTCCTATTCAAAAAACTTGCTTTATATTAAGCCCCTCACCGCCTCTTCTCTTGCGTAACCAATATGGGACTAAAGTTCTCTATTGCGGAACCTCTCCAAATTGACACTTCTGGCTCTCCTTCTGTTTCGAGCTGCTACATCAATTGTACTATAAAGTAAACCTATAATCAAACATTAAGCCCATCGTGATTAATGCGTTCAATTTGGAACAAAACCTTCTTGTTGGGTTATTTTAATGCATTCAATTGAGCTTGCTCCTATTGTCAAAGGTACTTTCTAGCTAGGCAAAAACACTATGAAATTTTAGAAAATTACAAATAACCCCCTAAAAACTAATCTTGACCATCCCATGAAGTTAAATTACGAACAACAGCCTGAATAGTTAATCCAAATCCCATGTAAAAAAAATAAAAAAATAAATTCTCATTCATTCAACTAAGGCCGAGTAGACCCGTCTGACCTAGGTCCGGGTGTTGAAAATCTGGGCTTTTTTCCAAAACTGGGCTTAGATTTTTCAAATATACCATGGGTCTAACCCGGGCAAGTTCGGGGCATTTACCAGTCACCAACCAATAATATGGGCCCAGGAGCCCAGAAGCGACGCCAATTTGTTTAATGCCCAGTTGCTCTACCTACCAACCAATTCTTATCTCTATTAATCAAAGAAAGAGTCTGCAATCAAAGTTGGACTTTCAGCCTCAACCTCATTGCCTTTTTATCCATTAAGATAATGACGAAGACTTGTGCGAATACGAGATCTATTTGACCTTTTCAAGAGTCATGGTCAGAAGTGGCCTGGTTCAAAATTTATATTGGAAATTATATCATTCTTTTGTTGAAAACAAAATCGAGAAGAATAATAAGAAGAAGAAAACGAGAGCATTATTATATTATAATCAACCTTCCAACCTCCGTTTGAGCCTTGGTCAATTGATAAAAAAAAATTAGTCCAATTTGATTTAATGGAATATTAAAATATATATATGATCACAAATTTTACGAGTTTAATTTCATTTACTCTTTGTAAGATACTTTAGTATAAAACATCCTAAAAATCTTTTTTTTTTCAAGGTATTTTGGTCAACTTACTTATACAGGCTTTAATTAATCTTCATGGGAGACTATCAGATTAGTGTAGCAATTCACTGTCATGGTCTTCTACTTAAATCGCAAATGCTCAGATGGGATATCAAATTCAAGACCATGCGTCAATCCACACTATCTCTAATTCACCCTAAATTATCCAGAGATAGGTCATTATAAAAATGATTAAAGTAAACCCTAAATCATAGGTATGTTAATATTTTATTGGCAAATACTAGCCTCCTCATAAAATTGGTTTGCACCAAAAATCTTATAAAAGATAAAATTCAATATAATATTTTTCACATTCATTTGTAAACTTTTAAATTATGTTCACCAAAGTGGACTCAACATGCCTAACACTTTGTCCAATTCCGACTTTCCACTTGAAACTAATGGTTATAAAGCAGTAATCTTTGAAGCAACTGGATTTAATATAAAAGCATGGAAAATTTCATGACTTGAGCAGAATAAAATAATCGTTAATTGTTCATATGTATTAGCATATAATATATAATTGTGTTTAATGAACATTCATTTTCGTATGTTTGAATTAGAAAAAAATGTGTATACTTGCTTACCTAACTTGTTAAAAATGCATGACGTTGACAGTCATCTCCCTAGCTCTTTAATATTCTCATGAAATAAAACATTATTTTCGTGAAAAAACCCGTGTCCGCATAAGCCATTTTAAATTAAAAATAAATAAATTATAATAAATAATTTATAATTGATAAACAAGTATTAGAGCCACGTTTGTTTGGAGCGATGATGGATTTAGACCTGGCCATGCACGTTGAGCGTAAGAGAATGTGTTAAACATTGTATTTATCTTGCTTCGTCAATTTGATAAACTGGATGCATATATAGTAGAACCTCTCTATAGTTATAATGTTGGGGCTAACTAAATTTATTACTATAAAGAGGTTATAATTTAATAGATGTGTAGTTGCAATAATTATTATTTTGATTTCTTATTTTATAATTAATGTTTTAATAGTATTAAGATTTTAATTCGTTGTTTTAATAGGATTATGATAGTAACGGGAATGGATATCAAATAGTCAATACAAAATTGCGTGATAAGATTCGACAACTTTACTATAATCAAATGGATATTAATGTTTTCATCAATCATCCAAATGAGCAACAAATCGTGTATATTTTAATTGAAAAAAAAAATCATTACTATAATTAGACAAGAAGAGTAAGAAGATAATCTAAGGATGATAGTACGAAAATACCAAAATTTCATGCCAAGAAGTTCTAAACATGCTTGAAAAGTTAAAAATATTTTGACTTCAACAAGAATGTGTCTATGTTGGTGACTTATTAAGTACCTGAAAGATAAAAAATGTAGTAAAAACTTTAAAGTATAAATTATTCTCTCAAGCAACTTTAGACAAATATTGTATCTCATTATAAACTTTTAATGTAAAATAACGTATATTTTTTACAATATACATTAATTATTATTATGTAGAGGTAAGTTCCTTAAGACGGGACTTAGAAAAATTATAACTTATCATAATGTGAAATTTATTCTTATTTATAATTGATTCAAGTTGAGACTAAAATTTTGTATGACTACATAAAGGTTATTCCTATATAGAACATCACAATAGAAATGTTCCACTTTATATGGATGGACATGGACTTTTTTTTATTTTAAGTTAACTTTTAAGAGTGAGTTATTCTCATAACTGTTTATAATAATCATTAATTTTTTATTAATAAATTAAGAAAAATGTTGCAAAAGTCAAATTTGTGTACTTATTTTTCTGAAATTTAAGGTAATTACAAATATTATGACGTTTTTAGTTTGGTGAAGGAGGAGACCATGCAAAAGACAAAGAAATATTCAAAATTAGAGCATAATGTAGACATTTCAAAAACGGCAGCAGAAGGAATTTTAAAATTATAGATAAATAAATAAATAAATAAAATAAAATAATTGTGGAAGTAGGTGTCATGTCCGGGTAGAAGTTCGTTTGGACTTTGGAACGGGCTTCCGAAGGTTAGATGTGATAGCCATCTGACTGTTTGACCAAAATACCCTTTCCCTTGGACAAATTATCAAAATGGCCATTATTCTCGTTAATATCTTGTTAGTAGTTGTAGCCTTTTAAAAAAGAAAATAAATAAAACATCAATTTCAATTAGGTACTGGTCACCGGTGTGAGAAGATGGTTGGACAGTTTTTGTCATATTTTCAAGAGAGTTTTGACAATATTTATACATGGCTGATTTAGGAGGTTTTATATAATCAATAATACTATATTTATAAAAAAATCTTATAAAAATTTTCATACATAGTAAAGTAACAAAAAATAAATAAAAGAATGAAATAAAAAATCAAACTCATTAAATTTATTCTTCCATTCATTTTTTACTACCTCACTTTGTATGAAGATTTTTATAAAAAAATTTTGTATGTGTAGTATTACTCTTATATAATATACATGTGTGGTTAGTTTTATCCTTTTTTGATTAATTTTTTGGAGTGAGTTATATTTAAATCCATTTATCATGATATCATAGATACGTTTATTTGAGCCTTTGATGTATGTGCACGTTAAAAACTGTATTTATTCCATGTTATGGTTGTTATGATATATAAATATGGTTGACTTCTATCCGCTTTGAGTTAACTTTTGAGTTTGAGTTCTACCTGAACTCATTTATCAGATACAATTATATTTAATATTAATACAAGTAATACTCACCCTTTTGAACAGAGGCGGATCCAGCCCACTTTTGGGTGGGCCATCAATTATTATTTTTTAAATATTAATATATATAATTTTTGGATTTTGACAAAACTTAACAAAAATATTAATGGACACAAAATATGTAATTAGTTTTCATTTTGGTTCACCCTAAAAAAAAATTATGGATCCGTTACTGCTTTTGAATGTTTACTACTTTGTTTAATTAGTGCCATTGCTTCGAGAGAAAATGTGGTTGTGTTTGTTTCGTGGTTGAGATTTTTTTTTTTTTTTTTTTAATGATTTCTTAAATCAAAATCAGAATCACCTTGTTAACATGACAA